AAAAATCTGCTTTATTTTCTATTTTTGGAACCAATGAAATTGGGTCTACAATTTAAGACTTTTGTTAGTCCTTTTATGAAGCTATCTAGTTAAATCCCTAAAAAACTGGACACAGACATATTAGTTTAACAACAAATATGCTGCTTGGAGTCCACCTTCCCCTCATGATTTTGCAAACACTGAAATACAAGTAAGGAATTGAAATATGTATCACATTGATTTGTATTTAAATATGGGAATATTTTTTGCCTTCCCTAATTATGGCAAGAGTTATTCAGCGTTATACTTTGTCTTTTACTTTTCTTATAGCAGAACTCAGGGCAGTGGCGTCACAAGGGGGTGTGGCCCGCACCCGGTGCCACCACTGGAGGGGTGACACCAAAATGACTCATAGTCATTTTGGTGTCACCCCCTATGGATTGTCGGGCACTCGATCACGGACCGAGAGCCCGACAGTGTAAGGAGAGAGGAGGGCACCTCCTTTACATGTTTTGTGTGAGATTAGTGTAGGGAAGGATGAAAACTCTACCAACTTATTTTTGCTACCTGTGCCCCGCTGGGGAGATTTCCCTTCACTTCCTGTACTTGTGAATATTATAATAATAAATCTCTCATAACTGAACAGAATTCCCATCTTAGAGAGTGGTCACAGGGATAGGTGTCCCCATTTACAGAGTTTCCCTTGCCTCTTGTTCTGGTGACAACTCAACATTTTGTGATTTTTCTCTCACATTATGTTTTGGTGACAAGGCTCATTCGGTGAAATAAAGAGGTGATTCTACCTGTTAGGACAAAGACCGCAATAAAAACTTGAAAAGGGCTCTAAACCTTCTAGGACTAGGCTAAGCTTAATAGTCTTTTAATACCAGATAGTTCTGGTAAGGAACAGGCCCCGTATCTTTCTCTGCTGCTGAAAGATAATGATTTCTGTGCTTCTTTGGTGAACTTTGATGATTAATTACTCTACAGTGCCTGCAGCTACAGAGGCCATTAAGGGTTTTGTTTTAAAGCTCATTTACTGTTTGTTAGGAATATGTTAATACTTGAATTCCCTAAGTCTGTCTACAGTTCTGCTGGTCCTACACAGGCACACTGGGCCGGAACACCGTAGATGCAGGAAGGCAATTAGCTATTGATTTGGCAATCCATCATGCAGGGCACAATAAAACCATATATGAACTATAAAGAGTATACAGACCTATGTGCATTATATACAATTGCATCATTCTGCAGCCCTGGTAATGTGATATCTGAGCAGATAACTATTGTCTTCAAATGTAAGGTTTAGTACATAAATGGCTCGGTAGGTGAATCTAAAACATTTTTTCTTAGCTAATAAGTGGCATATTTATTGGAATACGTATAATGCAAGATAAGGAGTATGTTATTTAGTAATAGTGGGACAAAGTGATTGGAGACATCTAATAACCTGTGTAAAAATATGGGAGAGACATCTGATAAAATTATTCTCTAAAAAGTTTAATAGGGGTTGAGTTAGTAAATCAGTATGTATAGATCTATTTTAAATTGAGTGAAACATTACAATAACAAAAACACCCTCTGTGCACTAAAAAATGATTCTAGAATACCTGCTTGGTGGCATGAGCAATTAACTGTTACGCTCATTAATTAGAGTAGGATGGTACTGTACCATAACAAGAGAGATGATGAACTATAATGACAGGGGGTTGTTTACTCTTATGATTTTTATGATAGCATATTACACAGAAATTATATGAAGCACAATGCATTCTGTGCTTTATGCTACTGGCACCTGTTTTCTAGCCACTCTCCTTAAGCATCGTGCATCTGGTTTGTTGAGAAGACTGAAAGCACACACTGTAGATAAAACTTAATTAGCCATCACCAGCCAGATGAAATCAATTCCTCCAGCATCGTATAAAACCCTTCTGGACAAGTACTGGAAACAAGGATTTATCAGGGGCCCTTTGTAAACTTACTTCTACAAAATATCACTAGGCAACTTAATAGCACAGAAAAGGGTGGGCTATTTAATAGCTCACTGACAAGAATATTTCAATTTGGGAAACCTACCGTACTCGCTTTTTTAAAGGGTGTGTGTGTGCAGACAGAGAAAGATTAGGCCTAGCCTTCAGGATTGGAGGTAAAAGAACTGAGCACACTGGGCTTCTGCTCAGAACTCTCAAATCCAAGCATCTCTAAGTTGGGGAAAAGGAAATAACTGGGTAATTCACCAAATATGATAATAGGAACCAATGAAGAAGAATTATTTGGAAATATTTGGTAATTCACAACTATTATAACAAAAAGATAAGAAGAAGAATTATTCAGTTTTTTAGCTTGATTTGCTCTTTTTTTCTTTTGGGAGCTTCCATGTTAAGACCTCCTTGCCTTATTTCTCATTTATCCTTTCCAAAATTTCAAGTCGCTCCTCCTGCAAAAAGAGGGGGGGTCTCATTTCTTCTGCTACACACCCCACTCCCAAAAAAATAGAAAAAATCCTGCAGGGTAAGTGAAATCAGTTTTAAATCACCAAAGGAGCCAGGACAACATGAGAAATCAGTTTCGGATTTCTAGACTCCCCGAGACATAAGACAATAGATTATTTTATCTAACCAGTACTTATGCAAAAACGAAATTATTTTTTTTTGGGAGAGGTGGACATGCCGTTATTAAATGTTTTTAGTGCACAGATTAGGTTCAGGGGTCTTGCCACCCATAATTGATGGAATTGTAAACAGGAGCCAAGATTTTATCACATGACATGTTTAACATGATGGTATTTTTGCCGCTAGCATCGCCATAATAATGCTTATCTTTATGATAATATAGTGTGTATTGATGGAATGGGATAAATGCTGCCTGAGATAAATGCTTAGTTGAGGTTAAGAGTCAATTGGGGAGGGGGGTCAATGGTTAGCACGTCTGCCTTGCAGCACAGGGGTCATCAGTTTAAACCCTGGTCAGCCCTGTCTGCAAGGAGTTTGCATGTTCTCTTTGTGCTTCTGTGGCTTTCCTCTGGGTACTCTGGTTTCTTCCAACACTCCAAAAACATGCTGGTAGGTTAATTGGCTCCTTTCTAAAATGACCCTAGTATGTCTGCATATGAGTATGGGACCTTAGATTGTAAGCTCCTTGAGGCCAGGGGTTGATGTGAATGAATGGTATTTAAAAGTGCTATATAAACTGACAGCACCATAGATCCCTGCAATAAATAAATACAATACATTGAAGGGAATTGATCAAAACTGGAGCAGACAAAATCTGGAGCAGCTGTGCATGGCAGCCAAGCAGCTTCTCTCTTTCATTTTCAAATCCTAACTGAACAGACTGAAGAGAGAAGCTGATTGGTTGCTATGCACAGCTGCTCCAGATTTTGTCTGCTCCAGTATTGAGGCATTCCCCCCATTATATAAGTTAGGTTTAGGGATGGATTTGGTTCATGTTATTGTATAGTTTTCTAGAATAAGCTCATGTTAAGAATTAGTTTCAGGGCTTACGTTCAGGTTAAAGGAGAGCTGGCATAGTAGCTTCTCCCACTAAAGCTGTCTGGATGCCATACTGACTCTCCTCCTTTAAAGAAGAACTCCATGCAAAATATTTATTAACCCTTGCAATGGGGCTACCCCTGCACTGCAAGGGTTAAGTGCTCATTTTGGTCTGCGGGGGAAAATAAAAATAAATTATGCTCACCCGATCCTCCGAGCCAGCTTGATCTTATACCAGTCCTTACAGCCTTGCCCCCCTTCCCTGCAGTGGTCTAAGCACCCTGAGTCATCATGTTCTATACATAGTATAGGATGTGAGGATGCTGAGGGACATACCATCACTGCAGCAAAGAAGGAGACAGGCACGAGGGAGCGCTATCACAGGCTCAGGTATCACAGGTAAGCATACCTTTGTTATTTTCCTCCCTAGACCAAAATGAGCACTTAACTCTTACAGTGCGGGAGTAGCCCCATTGCAAGAGTTAATACATTTTTTTACCTGGAGTTCTTCTGTAAAGGAAGAGAGTCAGTATGGCATCTAGGCAGCTCTCCTTTAACCTGAACATAAGCCCTGAACCTAATCCTTAACATGAGCTAACCTAGAAAACTATACAATAACATGAACCAAACCCCTCCCTAAACCTAACTTATATAATACATTTATTTATTTATTGCAGGGATTTATAGCGCTGTCAGTTTATGTAACACTTTTAAAAACCATTCATTATCATCAGTCCCTGGCCTCAAGGAGCTTACAATCTAAGGTCCCTAACTACTATGCACAATACACACACACACATTCTTCTTTAATACCCCAAGGGGGAATTGATCAAAACTGGAGCAGACAAAACCTGGAGCAGCTGTGCACAGCAACCAGCTTCCCTCTTCAATTTGTCCAGTTAAGATTTGAAAATGAAAGAGAGAAGCTGATTGCTTGCCAGACAGCTGCTCCAGATTTTGTCTGCTCCAGTTTTGATCAATTCCCTTTGGAGACTCTACAGCCAACCAATTAGCATATTCAGAATTGCCAGCTTCCATACTGCTTTAATGACAGGATAACTTTAATGGTCAATGTGTACTTTTGTGGCAGGGGGATTGATACATCCATTTATCAGATATGCTAAGTGCATACACATGCAAAAAAAAACTTATGTGTGCAGGAAACGTGTGTGCTTTCCACCAGGAGCAATCAAGCCAAACTTTGTCATTAAAAAACTGCCAAAAGGGTATTATTTCTGATCTATAAACCTAGAGAAATGGTAACAAAGGCTCTATACCCCGTGGGACTACAGAAAGCAGAGGGAAGCTGGTGATATAGAGTAAGTAGAGCGCAGCTAGCGGCAGGTGAGGTCCCCTGTAGACGCCGGTGCGCTGTCCATGGTGCTGAAAGCACTGGCAGCGCCTATTAGGGAATCCACATATGAGCCCATTCCCATTCCAGTATACCACACCAGTATACACGAACACAGCAAAAGTTTTAGGACTTAAGTACCCCTGATGTAAAATAATAAAAAGGATCCCTTCGCTTACCTCGGATTTTCGGGTAAACTCGCTTCTCACGATGCTGACAACAGGTATTTGTAGTGCGGATGAGATAAACTCCAACTCCAGCATCTCCCCTTTGTTTTGGGGGAACGCAATGATCGCGCTGACTCCTTGGACCACGACGGTGTGGCAGACACTCTGCAGGAAGGAGACGGGGTCACTACTCCATGAGGAACTGGACGAAGACAACGGGAAGGCGGGCAGGTCCCCCAGCCCAGCTTCTATGGCCATCACCACTTCCAGTGACAGATTATACGGCAAGAGACCTGGCACCCGATTGAGGTGATCCACTGCCAATAGCAGCGCTTCCCTGGGAAAGAGCAACTCATCTCCTCCTCTGTAGCCAATAATACTCCTTGGACCGGGGCTTGACTTTCTTTCCAAAGTAGGGCCACGCAGTTCGTGTTTGCCTCCATCCCTGGAGCGCTCTGTCCCCTCCGCCTCATCTGCATCTTGGTCACGGACCGTGGCAGTCTTCTGCAGCCCGGTGTCATTTTCAGGCCACGGTCTGGTGTATTGACTGGTGATGCCCCTTGTCCTCCAGGGCTGCAGCTGGACAGCCCCGATCCGTACAGTGTGCCCGATCCTCTTGAGGATCTGGCAGGGCTGGGGGTGCGAGGAAGAGCCGGGCACCCTGGCTAGGACCAGGGCACAGGGAATGAGCAGGCAGACCCTGCTTAGCACCAGGCACCACCAACTCAGCCTGCACATCACTGGCAGGGGAGTCAAAGGAGGGGGAGAAGAAGGAGCTGGAGCTGTGCACTCACCAGCCAAGTCCTGGGAGAGAGAAGAAAGCTTCCTCTGTAGACGTGTGATCACCAGCAGAGCGCACACAATCCCAGCAATAACCTCATTCTCTCCTCTACAAAACTTCTTCTGAGCTTCTCTCTCACTGGACGCCTGGGTGGCTCCAACCAACATTAGCCGGGCTAACAAACATCAGCCACTTCAAGGGCTTGTCCACTGATCATCACCTTGCAGCTCCTCACACCTCCAATAGCCAGCAAACTTCTCCTTCCAGCTCTGAGCTCAACCTCCAGCACTCACCATCCCAATATATACAGCCAAGGAAAATCCCAGGAGTTTGCAAAAGAAGGCAGTTTTCTATGTGTTTGTGCCTAGATAATTCTTTGCAGGTTGCTAAGACCATTCTTTATTCCCTACAAGCAAGTGCAATAGATTTATCCTGGTGGAAGGAGTTGCACATGCCTGCGGATTGTTACTGCTAGTCCAAACGGTCGCTTGGCTGCGCTAAAATACCACCGAACGGCAGAAACAGCAGAAGGCTCGCAGCGTGCACGGCGCACAGATTCATGGGAGATGTAGTCCGCGATGGGTAGACATAGAAGTGGATAGAGCTCCCCGTGAACTACACTCCCCACAACGCTGTCACAACTCCGCCTCTCATCCTGCTGCAGTAATGAGACGAGTTTTCAAACAGATGAATGTGGCTGCATGGATGGAGCGTTATACGAGGCATATGTGTCGCCTTTAATATGCTGTGTGTAGGAAAAGAGGCGGCTGATGTCCTTACATCGTTCTGTGATGTTATAACATGTGTGCCAGGAGGAAGAAGTATAAAAAAAATCTGGCTGGTTACCAAACCTGACTCACGAATCCAGTTATCTGACATCACCAAATGTCAGAGCATCCTGATCACATAGTATTGATTGCAAATCTGGATTTGTCACATTAATTACAAAGGGATCTGCAAACAGTAAACAGACATGCAGCTGACTGAATTTAAATGAGTGGTTATTGCAACTTTTTTATTGTCTTAATAGGTTTTGTACATCCTAGCGTTCATCCTAATTAGATGTTGGAGCACTGTGATTAGTTTTTGATTAAATAAATGCATAGACACTAACTGTTTGCATCTATTTTTTTTTATTTTTGTCTGCAGGTAATCGTAGCATGTGCGATTACAAGTGAATGTCCACAAACAGCTGCGGGTGGTGGCAGGTGTCATTACAGCGCCTCCTGACTGCAGCTGATCACCTAACTCTCATGGAGGTATTCATGCGAACGCCACCATTTGCAAGTGTGGACCCATTTGTTTGCAAACAGTCTTCCCCAAAGAAGAGAATACTTGAACATTAAAGTTAAAGAGAACCATAAAATGTGAGTAGCACAGTGGTGCAGTGGTTTGCACTCATGCCTTGCAGTACTGGGGGGTCCCTGGTTCAAATCCTGGCCAGGTCACTACCTGCAAAAAGTTTGCAGATTCTCCCTGTGCCTGCGTTTTCTCTCACACTCCAAAGACATACATGTGTAGCCATGTATGTGAGATAGAATAGATTGTAAGTCCCCTGACATTCACTGATGTAAAGTGCTGCATAAATTGTTGGTGCTATATAAATACCCATAATCAATACACCAAAAAATAAAGTTTTTTTGGGGCAAAACAGACTCACTAAGGGCTAGTTCACACCAAGTGCATTCCAAGAGCAGAGCAGTTACGGACCGGATCAAAACTGCGTCCAATGTATTCCAATGGTATTTTGGGCTCTAGTTCACACTGGAGCGTTCAGTTCCAGAGCATGTAAAAAAACTGCAGCAAGCCCTATTTTTACTGCTCTGGAACGCATGCAAATGCATCAAAAACACATGCAAACGCCCTGGAAAACATTGAAAGTCCATTCTAGGCTAAACAAAACGGCCTGGAAGGCATCAAAAACGCCGCACAAGCCACTGCACCGCATGAGCAGAAACTCATGCAGATCTGGTCTGCATTTGGTGTGAACAGGCCCTCAATCTCATCTGCCAAAAAACAGCTGCTTCTCACAGTTTTAATCTCTCAAATACATCGTACGGTGCATGCACCATATATTCTACTACCCTGAGTCCTTCCCAGTGTTTGCAGTGTGCCAGAAATCAGGGAGTTCTAGAGATGATGCAATGCCCAATGATAAGACAGAATAATGGAGGACTCAGAAGAAGCAGTGGAGAAAATGGCATTGGCAGTGGATTAGCTGCCGAGGTAATGAACAGAATAACCAAGCCGAATGCTGCACAGCATCATTCGGCTATTCAATCACTGCTGTTTGGCCCCTATGAGAATAGCGGTGAACAACAGTGAATAACCTGCCAAATTCTGGACGTGTTCTTTACTTTGGCTCAGCCGAACGGGCTGAGACTGTTCGACTAAAAACAGCTAAAAACAAATGTACAATGGCTGTCTTTGGCTCCTGAAGTGAAGGGAGCCAAAGGCAGCCAATGTACAGCTGTTTTTAGCCCTACAGGGCTGAAGTGAATAGCCGAACATGGTTATTCACTCGAAGCTTAGTGAATAGCCACCTATGTTTTAAAATAAAACACCACCTTGCTTCTTATCCTTACAAGAAGATTACTGTGAGATCCATCTCCTCTGCAGCCTAGACGTAAAGATGACATGACAGTTTGGGGTTGATTTGCTGAAGGCAAGCAGGCTGTTGTATTTAAGGACTTAGTGTCCAAAGCGGACCTTTACACTCAAAAATCAAATGCTACCGATGCATCCCTCTATGTATGATGATTAATGATAACATAGACATGCCAGGTGTAAAATGCTGTGATTATGAAATACTTCCACTTGCAGAGCATTCACTTCCTGCTTTGAAAGGGCAAAATGACTTTAGTTTGCCAAGGCAATGGCATTTCCTTAACTTCAGCAGAGCATTGCTCTCTCTCATGAGCTCTCAGGGAAAGGCATTTGGTTCCCCTGAGATGATGTGCATGGTCAAATGTCCTAGTCACATGTGCCAGAAATCCAGGAAGTAAAAGGAGAGCTAGTAACCTGCCCTTAGTAAACATGGCCACTGTCAGAAGACTGGAAGAAAAGAGAAATAAGGTATGCAAAGAATACAAAGCCGGCAATTATCTAGAAGTTTGTGTTTGTAGATTGTCATTACTAAACATTTCTAAAGGTGTGTTTGCTGTTATTTTAAAGATATGGGTAAAGGTCCTCTTTAAGATATGAAGGTATAGTTTACTGAAGGCAAATAGGCTTACTTTGCAGGAGAATTTTACCTTAGTATAGTGAACAAGATGAAGCTCTGCTGACTTCCTCATCCAATCATGTCCAAGACAAATACTGTACTTTTTTAAATGTTCCTAGCACGTGATTGGGTATTCTTTACAAAGTGAATTTCCATCACATCATGAAGCTAAGGGAACATTTCCTTGTAAAGTAAAAATGTCCTTACAAAGTTAACAGCCTTTAGTAAATCCCCCCCAGTGACCAAGTGCATAATAGGTATTTTACAGCATGAAAGAAGATGTAAACCCTAACTAGATGACATTTAGTTTCCTTAAGCACTCTGTATCATGCACAACTGGAGTGTTTTTTTTTCTTTGTTTGTTATAGAATACTGTTTTCAACTTTATTTATACTGTTTTGTTTTTTTGCATCTTAGTACTGCTGATCATCAAGCAAAGATGAACCATGTCTGTACAATGTGCGTCTGTATAGCTGCTTGTCATCTCCAACCGTGGTGCAGGTGACATGGTGAAAAGCAGAAGCACAAATAGGAGATAGTCGCCACCCCAACACCAAAAATGCCTAGACAAGAAGCCTCATGGCAAGATCGCCATGAATTCATTTAATGAAAGCTACTAATTTGAAAAGATTGAAAACAACATGTGATATCTTTTTTCATATTTCCAGGTGGTTGCATAGCTGTGTGATTGATCTAAAGGTGCCAATACACTGCACGATTCTCATACGAGAATCGCGGGAAATCCCGTTATCGTACGATAATCGTGCAGTGTATGAAAGGTGTGCAACCGTTTCTAATGTACGGTCGCACGACTTCTGTATATCCAGCATGTTGGAAAACCAGCCGGTGTGCGCACCTGCATACTGCCCGTTCAGCATTGCAGTCATCGGAAGCATGCCCCTCAGGGGGCGGGCTTGCGATGATCGCAGGTACGATCTGCCTGTCCAAGATGGGCAGATCGTACGTTATTTTAAGTACTTCACAACCCTCGCAAGACAAAAGTCTTGCGAGAGTTGTAAAGTGTATGGCCACCTTAAGTGTAAAGGAAACATACAGTTAAACTAGTTGTATAATAAGATGTCAGAAATGTGACCCATCTTTGTTGTTGTCTTGGTTTCTGAAACACAGCTTTCCAACACTGGTATCTTGCTTTACATATTGCATTAATCAAGCTGAAACACAACATTTTGACCTTAGAAATGTTTAATTCCTTATATAATTGCTTATCTACAGTTTGCTCTGATTCTGGTTCTATGTGGTTGAGATTGATATCAAATGTTTCAGAACTTCAAAAACTTGCACTATAATTTTCATTTTCTCTTTGATTCATAATCTTCAGTTTACTGTGCGTTGTTTGTGTTTTGTATATAAGAGGTTAAAGGATCGCCATCATGATACTTGTGATGTAGTCATTTGATGAAACACGTTAGCATTTGTTTGCCGGTGTATCCATGTGGATGCTGCTTTTTTTTTTACATTGATAATGTGCACTGTTTAATACATATACTTTACAAAGATCCCCATCTTTTCTTCTTGCCTCTGGTGGGGTGCCTAATATGCTGGGAAAGCATGTTCCATTTAAAGAGGATAGGGTATTTGAATACCCCAGCGCGATTGTGACCTGTTGGAAGATTGCTGCTACAGAGGAAATGGGTGTTCCATACTATCTGGACTTCAAAAGGCTTCTCCTTACCCACATATTGACCTTACCTTGCATTTGGTCACATCGATCTGGTGAGTGCACACCCTGTCACAAGGTGTTTGGCATTGCTAATTGAATTGTTTAATTTATATACACAGATCCCAGCATACCAGTGTTTCTTGTAGTGTACCCCAGGACACCAGTAAATAGGGGCACCCTGGTCTGTGAATAGCAACCATCTACTATTGTAGCCATCTCCAGCGTTCCACTTTCCATGATCATCCAACTAGGACACAGTTGAGCATCAGACAG